TCTCTCCCCGTCCATCTCTCCCCGTCCATCTCTCCCCGTCCATCTCTCCCCGTCCATCTCTCCCCGTCCATCTCTCCCCGTCCATCTCTCCCCGTATATCTCTCCCCGTCCAGTGTCTCGTCGTAAACAGAACAGAACAGGAAAGAAGCAAAATAGAGCGTCGTCTCGAGAGCCGAGAGCGTCGAGAGAATAGAATAGGAGAGGAGAGGAGAGGAGAGAAGAGAAAATAAGAGATAGTAGTGGTTGCTATCTAGAATATGTATTTAGATTGGACTGTTGTCTAATTTCGCCATCATCGTCTTTTTGTCTTTTTGTCTTTTTGTCTTTTTATGGATGTGGTATATCTTCCTTTGGGGTGAAAAGAGGAGGGCAGGGACCAGAAAGGAATGATTTTGATTGATTTGATTTTGATTGGAACGTTTTAATGAGCGTGTTCATGTCGATTTTCGTATCGCCTGCTTCCCTGCCTGCCTGCCTGCTTGCCTGCCTTCCTGCCTCTCTGCTTATAATGTAACACTCCTATACTGCCACACTGCCACACTGCCACACCTAACCCTGCCACCACAACGAATGCGCGCTGACACGCCCCTCAAGCCCCACTCTTCTTCCCTGACATCTCCATCTCCACCTCCACCACCATTCCACCACTCTACCCATCACATATCTCCCTCATCTCCACTTCCTCAAAGCCTCTCCGGTCGGTGTCCAACCAGCCAGTCCCAGAACCCTTCACGCTCCTCCTTGTCCTTCTCTCCATTATCCTTGCCGGGACCCGGACCCGGACCTGTGCTCGGGAAAGGTGCAAAGTCGGTCGGGATCACGTATACGGGCGGACTGTACACCGGGGCGCCGGAGCTTGACGAGGAGGTCAGGGTGAGGAGGGTAGTGGATGGAGAGGGGTATGGGGTTGGGGCTGGTGGTGTGATATCCGATGAGGCGGATGATGATGATGATGGTGACGATGACGATGATGACGCTGAGGCTGAGGCTGAGGATTCACCTGGTGCATATGTCGATGTGCCACTAATCTCCGACGACGATGGCGAGCTTGTTGGGGCTGGCGAAGGGGAGGGTGTGGGGTATGGTGTTGGGCTTGGTGGAGATATCGCTGGGACGCTTGACGAGGAGTCAAAAGGGGATGGAAGAGCGCTGGTGGGGGCTGATGGGGATGATGAGCTGGGGTAAGGGGTTGGGCTTGATGGAGATGAAGATGAGGCGCTGCCTTCTGCCGGTGCATTTGTCGAGATACCTGCTGTGCTTTCGCTGCTGCTGCCAGCCTCGGATGAAGAAGGCTGCGATATGCTGGGGTAAGGGGTTGGTCCGGGAGGTGAAATGGTCGACGAGCCACTGCTCAGACTTCCCGGCGCGTATGTTGAACTTCCACCGACGTCCGAAGACGGCGACGGCGATGGAGATACACTTGGATACGGCGTTGGAGATACGCTCGGATACGGTGTTGGTGTAGGAGGCGAGATGGTTGACGATCCGCTACTGTAGCTGCCTTCTTCGGGGGCGCTGACCTCAGACGACGATGAAGAAGATGGTGCAGTAGGGTATGTGCTCGGCAACGGTGGTGATGAAACAGGCGATGTAGAGGCACTACTGCTCAGGCTGTTTTCACCAGGCGCGTACGTAGAAGTCCCAGCTACACCAGAAGATGTTCCAACATCTGCATACGTTGTCGGCACGGAAGGTGTATGTACCCCAGAAGAAGTCAAACTACTTTCACCCGTCCCAGAAGACGACGGCGCAGGTGGGTATGTAGACGGAGATGGTGGAAGCGGCAGCGGGATTGTACTTGATTCTTCGGCGGACGCTCCGGAGCTAGAAGACAACGAGACAGACGGGTATGGAGTCGGTAGACCAATGGAAACGCTGAAACTCTCGCTCCCAGCGATAGTTGATGACACTGAACTGGACGAGCTTTCTTCACCTGGTGACTCAGTAGTTGATGGAGGCGTGATTGAAGGAGATGATGGGCCACCATAAGATGTTGGTACTGGAAGGGTAAGGACGCTTGACGAGTGCCCGGTAGGCACCTCGATAGTCGATGGCACCGAGATATTTGAAGAGCTCAACGACCCAGAGGGAGTCTCATACGTCGATGATGGAATAGACTCGCTAGTTGACAAAGATGCATGTGGCGTGGAGACTGGAGTGCTGGACGTAGAGTTCCCATGAGGAGGCGTTGTCGGGTACCGAGTCGAGTGTGTCGGCGTAATGGGTGGCCTGACCGTTCTTGTTCTCGTCCGTGTCGACGATCTCTTCGTACTGCTCGAGTGCGTCGGATAGGGGGCCGTAGTGTTTGGATACAGCGTAGGACTCCCGGTTGACAGTATTGGTGTCGTGTTATTACCATAGCTTACTGTCGAATCTGTCTCCGTCAGAGAGCTGCTTGGCGTAGGCGATGACAATGTGGCCGCATAGGTCTCCGTGCCTGGAACAGTTATTGTAGCGGTGGACATGATGTTTGTGGTCCCTGTGCTATTATCTGGCACGTACGACGAGGTTGGGTACGGCGGAAGTGTTGAGTTCAACGATGCTGTCGTTGAATGGTTTAGGTTAACTGTGCTGGAATGACTATAGGTCGGTATCGGCGTAGTCGGTCCATACGACGTCAGAGGAGTACTGCTACTGTTCCATCCGACTGAAGACGATGGATAATGGATTGAGGATCCAGAAGATGGCCCGTGAGAACTGCTAGATGGTGAGCCATACGTAGTTGGGAGTGGAATGCTACTACTGTTCCAGCCAACGGACGAAGACGAGTAGTGTATCAACGTTCCAGACGAGGGATAAGGGACTTCGCTTGAAGGACTAGACGGAGCCGGGGTAGACAGCACTGGTGTAGATGAGCTGTAGTAGCTAGGCGTGAGCGATGACTCCACAGGAGCGTTGGTACTCGCAGCGGTGTTGCTGCTAGCAGTAGATGTGATGACCTCACTGGAAGAGCTTGTCAGGGATGATGTCGTTCCGTTTGAGCTGGGGTAAGGTGGTGTAGTCAACGATACAGTGGACGATACGACATGACTAGATGTTGGCAACGGTCCGTATGGAGGCGGTGGAGGAGGATAGTATCCAGCAGTAGATGAAGTGCTCTCTTCAACTGGGACACGAGCTGATACGAAGTGTCAGTCTTGCTAGGTGAACGTGTTTCCCAAGGACAGCAGCTCGAGACCGAGAACGGCCGTCATTTGCTTTCAGGAGTTATCTCATTCAATTCCACATGAAGATCGAGGCATGAGGAAATTCTTGTTTTGGAGTACAGGCAGCTTCGAAAAGAGGATAGCACTCACCATGTATAGCTCCGGCAGACACAAGAGCGACGCCATACGCCACCACGACGCCCGCAGACAACATACCGTTAGTCCTCATCTTGAACAAGTCAACGTAACGAGACAGACAGAAGGATGAGAACGCCTAACGAATGGCAGGAGAAGGAAAGCCTGTCTCAGGAGGAGATTGTGGAAAGGAAAAAAAGCCATGGCACCGAGCCATCAAAATCACTTTATAGCTGAAGCCTTGAAGACCATCAAGATCCCACCTACCTCAAAGGGAAGGTTTCAACGCTTCCAAACAAGACGTTGGACATACTGTGGTTGCGCAGCAGTATGCCGTGATGATGCAGTGAACCTCCATTTTCCTTTGGAATTGTGGTCCGTCAGTGAACGGCTCCAGTCGAAGCGTACCGTCTTGACAATCAATTCCAAACATTGTGACACGAAGCAGAAAAGTATGGTGTCTTCCGCGGCTCCCGTCTGTGGAGAGTAGCACATGAGATACTTTTGCTAAATGGTCTCTTGGTATCGGTACCCAAGGAGCAGTGAGGATGATGCATAGGACTGCACTCACTGACCTCAACGGCAATTCTTAAAACAGTATCTCAGATTTAAATACCAAGGTGACGTGTAGTAGTAACACCGCAAGTGATACCGCAAGTATGGTTGCGGGTAGCTCGAGTACCTGCCGTGCTTGCCTACTTTTCAAGGCTCGACGAGTAGTGGTATAAGCATAAGATATCATTGAATTAAGCTGCATGTATAAGCATTGCCTTCGAGATGATATATCATCATCGGACGACTATGCAACTGCGTAAAGCGAGACAGAGAAGATGTTCAAGGCCGCCTCAGCTTCAACCAACTTCTTCTCCATTGTGAGTCCTTCAACTCGTATCACCAATGGCGTTAAGCTAGTTGCCGTTTTGAGCTCTGACAGATTAAATCACTGTAGCACCCACTTAGTAATTAGTTTGTGTTTCTGTACTGCATAACAAGATCGGTTCGTGTTTTCTGCAGGGTCCTCCCTTACTTGAGAGAGACGAGAAAGAAGATAAGATAGGGCTATTTTGCGAACTCTGCATGAATTGAAGCAGCGCTGCAACGAACGGTGCATCCATCCACCTCGTCCGTCATCCGATCAATCCGGATTTACCATATCTAGCCGCCCGCATACCCAGCGACCCAACCAGAGCTCTTCAATCCAAACAAACTCATTTCAACGCGCACATCGTATCGTATGGCCTGAGATGGTGAGTTAGTCCACTGAACACAAGGAAAGTCTCAGTACCTCGCTGCTTAGTCCCCAGCTGGCATCATCGTACGTAACTGCTGTGTGTGTGGTGCTGCGCACATGTGAATCACAGTCTCTGCACCGAACGCCGTCACGCCCGAAAGTCAACGAAAGTGGCGACATCCCGTCCGCATTGAAACAAGAGGCAGCGTCGCCGCCGATTAGTCTTTAAAAGACCAAGGGAAAAAAGCACAAAGTGCACCCGCGCCATTTCTGGAAAGCGCTCGTCGTACCACTCTCACTCACTACAATAAGGCGCTACAATGCAGGTACGAGCGCGCACACACATACCGGGCCGTCTTTTGGGATAGCTAATTAGCTTGCATACTGTATGTAGCCCCGTGTACTAGGTTACGACAGGTCAAGAACGATGGCCTTGTAGGCTGGTCGCTGGTCGTAAGTGACGTGGCTGGGAAGTGTTTTTGATTAGTGCTGGAGGTGACGGCAGAATGGCTCGATGGCTTTTTTAGGGCATGTGATTGTGGTAACTTCGGGCATCAAGCAGAGCAGCGATGGGCCGTTAAAAAGACCGGGTTAGAATTGGACTTGGCAAGAACAATACCCACTGCGCGTTTTGTGTTTGGATTGTTGGGTTGGCTGCCAGAAGGTAGACTTTCACGTCAGTCGCTAATAACGATCGATGTGAATGTGAGATGAACAAAGGTGAGGATCGCGATCGGGGAGCAAAGGAGTCAAATTGAGAGTGGGGTCAACCCCGGTGATGGACACAGACGCCAAGGGTGAACACGGAACGTTCATGATGAAACTTTCGTATCTCAAACGCTTTAATAGCAAGATTTTATTTTTTTAGTGTCGAGACATCTCTTGTCTCCGCTACATAATCACCTCTCATCGAATCGCAGCTTCGTTTGAGCTGCGAAGTCATCATTGTGGATGATGGCACGCTACTGCGCTATGGAACATGTGAACCTGACAACGACTTTCAACAGTATGAAATTTGGGCCCAATATCGAAGAGGCGGGCGTGTAACGATGGAGAAGAGAGAAGTAATGGTATAATAGTCGACCAGGGTATCCGAAAACAAGGACCCCGATGACACCAAGACGACCACGTAACGCCTTGCAATAAATCCTGTACAGCTGAGTGGTACAAGACCTGCATCAAGCTCGAACATGGAATGGTGGGACGGGAAACTAGTGTCCCAACACCAATGACTCCATGAGAAGTATTCTCAGTGTGTGCGTATATTCAATAACCAATTGTTGCCTTAATTGAGAAATAACGCCGCGGGGATGCAAAAAGAAAAGGGTATTAAAGAAGCTGGATCGCCACTCATTGAGAGTAGGATCCCGAGTTCCAGTCGAACAAATCATTAAAGTCCTCAGCGTTGTACGCTTGGCCGGTACTTCCCTGATTGCTATTGTTCCGTGAAAGGTCCGTAGAGGTATCAAACGCAGAGTCGAAAAATGTGGTTTCGTCTGGAGAAAAAGTGGGGTATATGTCCGTGGTAGCGGAGGTGAGGTTCGTCGCAGACTGAGGCTCACTCGACCACTGTAGAGATGTATCCAATTGTGGCATGTTGCTAGTGGACAATGTCTGGTTCATGCCATCAAACATCGAATCAATAGAAGGCTTCGACGGTTGGCCAGGGTAGTTATTATAATAGTTAAAGAATGGTTGATTAGAGAACATATTGCCACCCAGTAGCATGTTGGTAGATGGGTCGTTGGGGTCGAGAGCCGAGCTCATCATGACCTGAGACTCGGCAGGGAGCATGGAAGTCAGTGGGCTGATGCTTGTCTGCTGAAGGGAATCGAAGCTGCTTGGAATGGCTGACAGTGGTGGATTGTTCTGCGAAGTTGGCGAAGGTGTCTGTGAAGGAGTGCGTTTCGCACCGAGGTGTGCGGGTCTAGCTGACTCTGACTTGAGCGAATGCAAGCTGGACGAGCTCCTGGAAAGAGACGGTCGAGCTTGTACAGAGGCGCGTCGGTCATTGAGAGAGCCAGGTCCTGACTGAATCACGGGTGACAGCGATTGTTGCGAGGGCGATGTCGAGCTCATGGATGAGGTGCGGTGATGTGCAACGGGACGCATATGCTGCTGGTAAGGAGAGTGGCGGTAATTGGCTTGTTGTTGTTGTTGTTGTTGTTGTTGTTGCTGCTGCTGTGGCTGCTGGGTCGACTGTTGTTGCTGTCGTACAGGTGGTCCCATCATCTGAGGGCTGATGGTCTGCATGTTCGAGAACTGTTGCATGTTTTGCATGTTGGACATGTTCTGCATATTCTGCATATTCTGAGCGTTTTGCAAGTTTTGGGCATTCTGCATATTGATCATGTTGTTCTGCATGGTGCCCTGCATGTTGAACAAGTTCTGTGCGTAGGCATTGGGAGCAAAGCCAGCACCGTTGGAGTACATGCCATTGTTCACTGCCATACGCATCGAGATTTGGGTGGAGAGGAGAGCTTGCAGACGACGGTTGAACTCTGGCGAGGAAGTGTTGATGTGGGCAGTCAGACGACGCATTTGAGCCTCCAGATCCTCGTCCTCCTCCTCATACATCTCCTCGTTGACGACATCCTTCTCGGTAACACGGAGAGCGCGGCCGGTACGTTTCTTGTGGATATCCGAGGCTCGTCGAGCAGATTCCATGCGAGCTTCAAGACTACGGTCACTTCGGCGCGATGCAGCGATATAGGCTCTGTACAACAAAAGTCAGTCAGCGGTCATGCAGGATAGAAAGGTAGCAGACGGCAGTACCTTTCCTGGTTCTCTTCATGAGTGCGTTCGGTCTTTTGCGGAATGCGAACGCTGGTAACCGATCTGATTGGAGGCATGTCGATTGTAAAGCTGGCACTTTATATTCGCTAGCACGAATATTCGACTGCTGGATGGAGGCAAAGGATAGCAAGGTAGTAAACCGAGAGTATCTTGTAGAGAGAGAAGAGAAAGCAAGAGAGAATGTGTGGGGGAGTGGCCAGTGGATAAAGTAGAGAGGGTGGCGAGAGTATAGAGCGATGGGCGGGACAGAGCGGGGAGAGCAAGCGAGCAGTGCAAAGATCGGATGTGGTAAGGGAGCGAGGAGCGGATGGTGGACAGGCAGCTCGGTCGGTCTTTTGGGGGGGAGTTTGGGAGGGTTCGGGGACGCGGGAGCTTGGTAGGTTTGGAACTACTCGCACAAGCGGGCAGCAGAAAGGATAGCGGATTGGAGCACTACGTCGACTTCTTTTTCAGTAGCGCGCTTAGTCGGAATATAAGGAAGGCTTTGCGTGTCCGAGGAAAGTCGACGGATGGGAAAGTTTGCGAAGTCGATGGCGGCGGCGATGGGGACGACGATCGAGAAGGGCAGAATTATCGTTTAGCTGGCGGGCGATCTGAGAGAGAGCGTGTGGGTGTTGGAGGACTGCTAATTAGCTAGAGTTGGTTGCTTGTCGGGCCGGAAGAGGGGAACAGGCGTCGGGTTGTGCGGTGATGATGGCGGCGGCGGTAGTGGATACGGCTCGATGCTGCTGGTCGTGGTGGCTTTTCTGCCAGTGACAGACAGGGACAGGGCAGGTGTGCAAAGAGTGGAACACAGCGACTGGGGGCTTTATGCTCATCAAATATAATGGATGCAAGGATGCTGCGACGTTCCGGCTGGTGGTTACATACAGCGCTTTCGATAGAGTGATATGAGAAAGGAGCATGAAGCACGAAGTAATAGAGAGATGACAAACAGAAGAAGAGTCGACTGGTGGGAAGCCGGCCGTATTTGATCTTCATGAAGCCACCACCACAGAACAGCAGAGTCGAAGAACAGACGAACAGGACAAGCTGCAGAGCCCGCAGCGACATGACTGTTGGTGAGGGGGGGGGGGGGGGGAGGGGGGTAAGAAGAAGAGAGGGCTTCAGGTCGGAAAAAGCCGTTTTTGCCCTGGATGGTGCAGTAGTATGAATGGATGGAATGGCGGATGGCGGAGGGGCGGAAGAACAGCAAGCAGCAGCAGCAGGAGCAGCAGCAGCCAGCAGTACTAGCGACTAGTTTTGTTGCCATTAGCGGCCCTGAGCTTTTCTGGGCGGGCTGGGCGTGCACTCGGTCCTGGCACGAGCGTCCCTCGGTCGCGTACTGTAGTAAATAGTAATTAATTACTAGTAAATTGACAACAGATACAGGTATTCTAGACAGGTAGACACAGGGACACAGGTATCAACATACCTTAGAAAGCTACGTAGGTACATAGGCCCCGGCAGGTAGGCAGGTATTAGGTACCTAGCCTGGAGGTAGAAGCTATTATCTGTAGGTACTGCTGCTAACTATTGCTCCTCGTGCTCCTCGTGCTCCTCCGAGATAATAGCACACTTTATCGCTGCTACCAGTGCAGATAAGAGACAGACGAGTTATCAAGCAGCCCAGCATGCGCGGCTCACTTGTGCTCCCATACATGTCTTGCAGATCGTGAATAGCCTTCTCGATGTTGCCGTCCTGTTTTTGCCCTGTCACACATGTGGCTGTTTGTGTGTGCTAGGTAGAGACAGAAAAGAAGAGACTGTGATTGGATCATCTCATCTCGTGCCACGACAACCTTTTTGGAAATCTCGATAAGCGAGGACGCCATGTTGTGTCTATGCTCATACTACCTGGTCGTGTTGGCGGTAGAGCTAGAGAGCCGCCCACTTTTTCGTTGCAGCCACCACGCCCACCACCACCGCCATCAATCTTTTTTCTCTCCGTCCAGTCCACCCTTCTCCCCTTCTCCCCATTCTTCCCATTCTCCGCGTCAATCTGCTGTCACAAGCTGAATTCTGGTTTTTATCGCAATCTACTTCTGTCCAGCTCCATGCCCGGAGACCCGCAATAAAGTCAGGCTTGCTGATGGCATTCCTCAATCGCCTTCCCGAACCTGTCCGTTCTTTCTTGGAGTGAAGGCTGTAATGCTGCTACTACGGCAACAGGCCAAGTGTTCTGGAAATATGCCGATGCGACCTACCTGACAAGTGTTGGCTACCTAGCTAGTACACTAATTATCCAGTACTCTGTAACTACATGTCAAGCAGACTAGCAAATACTCAGTAATAAACTAACACGCTCCATCTGAAAGATAAAAAAAAGGATCAGATCTAGAGTGCTGCCGTGCTCTCCTCGATCGATCGTCCCGTTGTCATTCCCAGATCGGAAACACGATCGCCTCGCTTATCTCACTACCACTCCAAACCAAGAATCCTAAGAGATCTGGAGTGACCAGTGAGAGGCTGTGCCATCAGTGACCGCCGCGCTTTTGCTCGTATATGCACTTCACCGCACGCACCTCTTCATTTCTATCCAGGGAGCAAGCGCTAGCTACTCAACTCCTAGACAAGTACCTAGCTGGACATGCTTCTTGCCTAGATAGCCAGGTACCTACAGCTACTTAGTACCTGCCCTTGCAGCTTCACGTTCCCGACGACATCAAGCAGTCTGTAGAATACGTGGGGTGGTAGGCCAGGTACGTAGCTAGCCACTGCTTAGGTAGCCTAGAATCTACTATTAATTAGGACCACCGGCGACCTCCTTTAATAGTAGTACTAGCTTCTGCGAGAACCACGTCATATCATCGTATCGTACGGCCCGCCGTGTCCCGTCCAGCACCGAACCACTCGATCCATTCCCTACCTATCAACAACTATCAGCATTCATTATTCACCCATTTCCCTGGGACATGGCGCCGCACAGATGATGCACAGTTTCGAATGTGGCGCGCGGCGTGGCAGCCACCCCCGAATGTTTATTCTCCACTCACTACGTCAATCCTCCCGGATATCTGGTTGGCCATTGCATGCATCCCCGAGCTCCTGGTCTACTATAGGGCTCGCCGCTTGTCCCAATCCGGCATCCCGCAAGCCTTTTGGTCCCAGGAACCACTATTATCAAGCCATAAACACGCCTGGCCGGCCTTTGACGCCATTATCCCATCATCCTTATACTAATCATTAATTCAGCTGCCAGCTGCCACCAAAAACCTCGCTTTACTCTTCAGATTTCCCAACTCCTCCATCTCCTCAGCCGGTGACCTCTAACACCCATCTATCCTTCATCTTCAATATGAATGTCCATTCTGCCACTTCTATCCATCTGTTGCCGAGGTTCTCTTTGCTGCTCGGACAAAGATAGCCACACGATACAGCCAGCCCACGGTCCTCCGGGGCCAGCACCGTAGACAGTCAAGACTGCTTCCGCCAACGTAATTACCGGTATTCCTCTCCATCACCGTTCTGGGATCGCGCCATGCACCCCACACATTCTGGCAGTTGTGACTGTTTACTAAATCATCTTACTTCTAATATTCTGTAATGGACTGCAGCTCCTGCCGCCGGACCTCCCCTTTCACCCTTCACCCCTAGTGCACGCTAATCCGTTCTCCTGCCTGCCTGTCCGACATGACTTCGTATCTTACTACAGCGCTATGCTCTGTTCCTGTTGCCCTGCACGTACTGTAATGCGCTGTGCTAGTTTGATCAGGCTCGTTCAACACGCCAGCTCAGCTTCCAAGTGCTGATCTTGTGAAGAAGCTTCATTATGAAGCTTCCTTTAGCAAATGCGATTCTTTTTGATGGTCTTGATATCTACATAAGCGTGAGCACCCTATTCGTATTTGTTCATATAATCAATTCTTCTGAATCCTCTGCGAATGTGCGTTGGGGACCAAACTGGAAGGAATGTGCGATTATAGCCCCGACGAGCTGCGCCTTCAACACAATCTCTGACCACTTGTATCGTGATGCTTCTGAGCAGATGCCCCCCCCTCAAAACTCCAACAGAACGATCGGCAGTAAACATCCAATACTGCTGAATCGCCTAGGTACCATTTCCAGTAAATTCCATCATGTGTATACTTCCACTCTGTGGGTGTGGTGGATGCAGCTGTACGAGACACTGCAGCACATCCTGCAGGAGCCCGCTGCGCTACCAGTTGTAAACAAACAACCTGAGACGCTGCCTCTGAGATGAATATGTCCTTCTAGCAGCCGCTTGGGAAGCCAAATGCAGACACTTGAACAACCGTGCCTCCAAAGCTTCTCTTCAGATTGGCATTTTTCTTTTTCACATCGCTTTACGCGCTTAGCCCTGTCACATCCTTGCATGGTGACTCTAGAAGAAAAAGTGTAGCTCGCGGACTCCATTCCAGGGTCCCAGCTCATTGTTTTGACGTCGGCGAATATAATATGCAAGAGCTCCAGCGTACCTGCAGCTCCACCGACGATATGGGGTCTCTGCTTCTGCCAACACGTCCACGGTCCACCGGACTCACGCTGCACTCTTCTTAAATTCTGTCTCTTCCTCTCCGCTCCGCCTGCAATAGATCGACCGATCGCACTTTTCCTTCAGCCCTTTTACTGTTGTACGCTCAAACTCACTTAAGATCACCGAGTTTGCCTCACTCCCGCTATAATAGCACTCCGCCCTGCACTCGATCGATCGATTGCTCATCTGTCACTCCTTTGATACGATGCTTTCAGGGTCTGATATCCATATATTTGAGACCCTTGATCTTCATCTCGTACGGTACCGTGGCGTGGCACTCCGACTGCAACCGATCGATCGATCACCCATCTTCACTCTTCCTAGACACGGTACCTCGTCTGGCTTTCGCTCATGTCTCTCAGGACCCTTGATGAGATTTCAGGTACACTACGGGAATACTCCGTTAAACCCCCTCCGACGCTCACTTTGGTACCCTTATGCTAACACCAGCTTACAGCTCTACCACCGGTTCATCCTCTGTGCCATACACGCCTGCGCTCAACGCGCGTATTCTTGTCACGACGAATTGAAACCTTTACCAAGAAGACTTTCCTCTTCGACCACAACATCTCGACCCTCTCGAAGACCACAATAGCGGCCTCTCAGTACGGCACCTGAAGGGATTCGACCGTACTCCTATTCGCTGCCATTCAGAATGATTCCTCATGTGGGTCGAACTACCAACCGCCTTGTATTGTATATCAGAACCTCGTTAACGGTGTGCAGTTTGTCAGTCTTACACGGGTTTTTACGATACCAGACACATCCCATTCGCTCCCAAGTTCACGCCGCCTCCATGTCTGGCCGTCAAATGCTGACAATTCAAGAGCGTCTAGGCTCCTGCATCATGCACACTTCAGCATCACAAGCAGGGAGTTATGAACATGATTCTGACCTAGCTAAACTCTTCTTCCCAGCCACCATCATTCAAAGTCCCTTGATAACCACATCTAGATCTGTTCCATCCGAGTCCATACTATGTCATCTGCTATTCCACAAGGTCCCAAAGATCAACCACAGCGCGATTCCGTGCCAGCCGGCGCACATCACACCGGCACACTGCAACGCTCCGTCCCGCCGGTCTTAACCATCGTTCGGCGGGTGCGTCTCCAGACCGTAAGCCTTGGCATCGCGTTTCGATGTGATACTGTGCCTAAGTGGACACACGTAGGCGCCGTTGTGTCGTGCTAAAAACACAGCACCCAATACTTAATTCCTTTACTTGGTAAAGTATTTGAATGCCGCTCCACTAATGGCACGCATAAGTATGCTGTCAATCAGAAACTCACCTGTTGGCACAAGGTGATGCATGAGTTCCCCTCATGCTGTGGGTTCAATCCGTCGTCATCTGTGATGAATCTAATCCATCCTTTGTGTATATGCATGTCAGCCTTGCACTCGCTGATCCACCTCAACCTACCGGAACATGGGTCCAGATTAACGAATCTTAGACAACGTTCATTCTTTCGTTTGGAACTCAGGTACAGTCTTGTTGTCGAGATGACTTTATATGTCTTGGTACGATCTTGCGCGCTGGAATCGCCTAGAGCTCGTCTGGTCGGAGTGTGTCCGGTCTAAATCGGTTTGAGTGAGTATTACAATGGTGTATGGACTGAATGAGAGCAGTTCCAATAGGTAAACTACTGTCATTATTACTCGTGACAATCTGGCATTGAGATACTGATATTAGATGCGCAGCGGCCACTGCTCTAACAATGACAATTACTTACATCCGTGCGGTCGTAAACTTTGCACAAGTTCGTCCTCCTTTCTACGGTAAAACAAATATACGGTCCTTTCAAGCAGTGACGGTTGGGGGCTACGAAAGAATTGCCAAGTTCGTGACTTTCATTGAACTATGCTGTGCCTTGCTATATATATTGTTCAGGCTACAAGATCAATATATGGTGATTATGTGGTAGCCCTAGCCCTAACCCTCCCCCGCCGCATATGGCAGCGCCCTTGAATTAAGAGCAATGGTATGTCTTCTGTTTTTTTTTTTTCGTCGTCTCTGCGTCGCTGATCTTTCGGGTTCCCTATCTCGTTCCTACGTGATCGGTCCACTGCACGTGGACAGACACGTATACTGCTTTCCGTGTAGATGTAAATATGACCGTTTGCCAGTGCCCGACTCGAGCTAGCTCGCTTGCACGCTTTCTCTTATCACTTTCCCCCTTCCTTCCCCACAAGCGGCAGCCCTTCTCTCCTCATCTCTCGCTCTATGTCCTCCTGGCCGAAAAGACTGAGACAGCAAGAGCAACGAAGAAAGAGGAAGAAGAAGAAAAACAAAATAGGAACCCAGACCCCTCGCACATAAGACAGACAACACGCGCGCGCGCGCATGCTCACTTGGCCACGGCGGCGCTCAGCACCTGTGTGCGGAAGAAGCCGCCCTTTGTGCGCTCAATGACCTGCTGGTAGACGGACTGCGGCGGGTGGTTCATGACGACGGTGCCTTGCTGGTAGTCGATCTTGGCGTCGACGCGTGTGTCGCGGATCAGGTTGACGATCCATTTCTCGCCTTCGTCTTGGGAGAGGCCGAGGCGGGTGGAGAGGTCCCTGGAGGGTTGCTTATTAGCCTAGCCTATGCCGTGGAGGACGAAGTGGGAGGAAGGTGTTGTGGAAAGGGGGTAAGGGGGAATTTTACGTACTTGATATCAATGCGTTGGTGGATCTTGCAGTATGACTCGGAGATCAGGTGGCGGGCGCTGTCGACGAACGACTCGGCCGTTGCGACGAGGAAGAAGTCGTTCTTCAGCACCTCCTCGGCCTCGCCGAGCTTCTTCTGCGCCTCTTCAAAGTCGAAATCGATGTAGAGGGCGCGGACGAAGTCGGTGAGCGGGTCGGCGTACTCGTAGCCTTCCTGCTTGACGATGCGCACCAGGTCCTTGAGTTGCTTCTGGTACTGGTTCGAGTTGCGGCTGCGCTGGCGGTTCGTGATGACGGCTGCGGCGAGATAGCGTAGGATCCACGGGCAGGAGGTCTGGATGGTGTTGATGAAGGGTTGTGAGAAGAAGAGGTCGGTGAGCACGTCGCGCGCGGGCTCGTAGTTGAAGAAGGGGAAGAGTGACCAGTGGATCAGCCATGTGCGGTGCTTGAGTTGGTCTAGTGGTGCGTTGAAGAGGCGCGTGTCGATGTTCTCTTTGACTTTCTGGATCTCTTCCATGGCGGGTTCCCATTGTACGGAGAGAATCTCAGACGCTAGCTTGCCCCAAGTTGCCTCGCCTACTTTGTCGTTGTCGGTGGACTGCGAATGTTAGCTTGGACTGTGATGCTCGTGTGCCTATGCTCTCACCAGAACGCGAAAGCGGTACAGCAGCTCGGATGCATCACCATAACTTCCGCACGTGTACTGGAAGTTGCCGTATTCGTACAGACTGTTAACCATCTCTTCCGTGACCTGGTGATTCTCCTTCAGGTAGCTCATGTTGGCCACCTTATCACTCCTAAGATTGTTTACCACCGCCTCGTCATTCAAAAGTTCGCTGATCCTTTCCGTCGCAGCCTCTAATTCATCCCGCTTCTTCAATATTTGCTCCCTTTTCTTTGTGTACTCTGCAGGCACTTGCGGTAGGTTGTTGACCTCGGCATCGAGTTGTCCCACATAGTCGATCATATTCGTCGCCTTCAGGAGGTTGAAGCGCATCTGCTTCATTTCTGTTGTTTGCTCATCCTCAGGGCCGGCTATAAATTGGAGGAGCGGGTAGATGAGGTGTCGGTCGAGGTTTGGAATCATCTTTGGGAGCAGATCATACTCTGCTGCTAGATCGTCCGCCATGATTGCAGGATATCAGTCCAACAGTCGTTATTCGAGACGCAGAGAGGTAGATATCACGATGTGCAGGTCCTGTCGACGTTGAGCGTAAAAGATGCGGGCGCGATTAGTGGGGGATCGAAATGCTAAACGAGCAGTTTGCGCTAGTGAGAGTTCGACCTGACGCGCCAAGCATTTACAGAGTGCTTTGCGAACTCCGCGTTGGAAGCTCAACCTTCAGCGTCAACGTCTCCGTATCAAACATTGATCGACCAGAGTTCGGCGCTCCAACATGGCTCTCCGATCACAACTATCACTCTCCTTTCTCCGCCCTCTCGCTCCGCCACAACCTGCCACGATCCGCTCCTTCATGCGCATCAACAGCCCTCAAATACGACGTCTGGAGACTTCCGCACCCTCATCACGGATATCAAATATCGAACCAGTCGCTGTCCCAGCTACCTCGCCTCACTCAGCCGCTACACAGACTCCCTCAGACATAACCAAGACAGACGCCAGTGGCTCGCGAGCACCGGCTGCGGAAAAGCTGCCATACTTTGTCCAGCGCACGCCCTCTGGCCAATTGCCGGTATATCGCGACAGCAAGGCACATGGCATGAAGAAGCTTGTGAAGATCAGGAAGCTGCATGGCAACTTGGACGTCCTGGCAACGGAAATAAAGGATCATCTGGAACTGCCAAACACCCATGTCAATATCAATAGATTAACAGGGCATATTGATATTACGGTATGTGCTCCTGACCTCTTCTCTTACTCCGAAGGGTACATGCGCAAAGATATGGCTCAGATCTAACACATCCTATAGTGTCCAGGAGGTAAAGATGTCGCGCCGCAGGTGTTGAAATTTTTGGTATCAAAAGGCCTCTGAGGGAGATCACCACATTCAGATATGAGAGGAAGAGATGTATATCCGAGTCTATCCAGTTGATAGACCTTCCTATGCATCGCAGCATTCTTGTAAATATACAAATGTAATAAATACACGGCCAAAGCTACGAGGCATTAACAACAAGAACTTCTCCGTCTGTACTTCAAATAGGCTGAGAAGAAGCTTTTAAGAGAACTTAATTTGTGGTCCTCAAGGCCTTTTAACACTGTCTTCAAAACATAATAGACATTCCCTCTTGTTGGCGAGCTCAGCATAGGAGTACAGAAGATTACTTCCAAAGGCTGAAACGAACTCATGCAGATCAAACAACACTATGTGAAACCAGTTGTGTTACTCAAAGAGCTATGTGTACTATTCTCTAGCTAGGGGCGACTGCAAAAGACTCCTTCTCATGCGCATAGCATGGACGGACGCATTTGAGCCTGGCGAGCTTGTGATACAGGATGACTACTGCGCGAACACTAATAGCCATATCTCCGCTGACACGGACGTGTTTGATCGCACGAATCCACAGAACAGTCTGTACGTACTCTGATACGAACGCGTGAGTTTAATGCAAATCTGTATGACCTTCTAGAGAAGCACAAAGCTGTTCTCTTATTAACGTCCAAAATACCAACCCACGAGGCTATTCATGACGAGGGCTAGACCATAAAGCGACTGACGATGGGCGACTGTAGAAGTGAAAAGCGAATGTGGAGCAAGGTCAGCATAGTCTACGGCTTAGTGAAAGTATATGAGGTTATACGTAGTGTGAATTTTGTTAGTCGTCTATCTAGTGCAGTACCAGAACATAGAAAACACCATAAATTATATGCGGAACTCGTGAGCTATTAGGGGATATATCCATCAATGTCGCGCCGAGCTATGCCTCATCTTTCATGTCACCTCACTGATTACCTCATACCCAATCCCTTAAAGATTCATCCAGCTCCTTGCTACCCGAAATATGCGCGTACGGTCTGTTGAGTTTCTGGAGATAAACTGGACAGTAGCTGGTTGGCGTCGAGTCCAGCAGTAGCAATCAAATGCTTGGCCGCCGCAACGACTCGGGAGGCGATCTGACCCTGGACTGTCTCCGCCTCTAGGGCAAGGGCAATGTATGTGAAACATTGGCTGGGACGGTTGCCAGCCATAACGGCTGGATTACCTCTGTTAAACTATTAGTAATTGTTCGTATATTGCAGTCTGAGAACCGGACTTACTGATCGATGAGTTGAGCGAGGAATGAATATGCATACGGGGCTGCTTCTTCATCATTGACGACAGGTAGAGTTTCGATCCACATTTGCGATACCTCTTGCCAATTGGTAACCTTTCCTGGGTTGTAGTGCAAGATTTTCGCAATAGCTGCACATGCATTCTCCGTCGCGAACACATCATCGTCGTCTCGAGCATTTGCGCGTTGCGTCGATTCAAACAATGGTGCTAGGCTTGCATTTGCAAACTCTGCCCAAGCTTCACCACCCTTGTGAGCAGCACAGCCAACACCGTACACTGCAGCTTGTCTGTTGGCTGGAACATCATCTCGCATGCCGGCCACAAGTGGGCCTACGATATGGGCCTGGTAATTCCAGCTTTGCGGCCCACAGAACTCGAGAACGTCGTCGAAGATACAAAGAGCCCACTGACGCTGGGTAGCATCGGGATTGACGACAGCCTTGTTATAATATCCCAGAAGAATCTCCCAATGTTTCAGGAATGCGACCCCATGGTTCTTAAAGACAGTGTGGAAAGCCTTGTTCATATCTGACAAGAGCGTTTGGTCGTCCTCGATGGCATATAACATCTCTTCGGGGAGTTCTTCGCCCTCCTCTTGCTCTGCCAATTCTTGCGATCGTTCGCTCACACGAGAATCATAGTCTTTAAGGACAGACTCTGCACCCTTGATGAAGGCGGCCATATGAGCATCAGTGAGGCAGCCCTTGCCGACAACCTCGAGGGACTCGTAGAAACATTGGTACATCTCAGCCAGAGTGTCAATGGCTGGTTCTGTCGTGAGCACTTCGAGTACCTTCTCGATGGTACCTTCCCAAAGCTTTGCAAATTGAGGAGACTGTTCACCGTGAGCTTTCTTATAAGATGCAAGTAGTTGAGGAACAGCCTTGGCAGATGCGACCCTTACTGGGTCGTGGAAGAAAAATGCTAATCCGGGCAGAGCAATCTTCTCCATGATATCGGTAACGTACGGCTCGAAGGCAGGACCGAGAACTTGAGCGTAGATGACAATCAGCTCGATCGCCATGTGTTTATCGTCTAGTGTGCTAGTCTTGATTCCGATGACTTTGCCTTTCAAAGGAACCAGCTCCCAACCCTCTTCACCTTCGATTTGCGCAACTTGCTCCTCGTCATCGAGCAGTTGTATATCGGCCTTGGCACCGGCAAGATCAGTCAACGGCGGGATGACTGCACTGAGATATGGGACGAAATCTGCATCTAATACCCGGCACATGCGACCCCAGCAGTGCAACAGGTACGACGCTTGTGGGTCGTCAGGCTCTGTAATATTTTGCTGGATAACTCCAAGGAGCTGAACAAGAGATAATGCATCTTGGTTCATTCGGTCCTTGCCCACAGCCAAGGCAATTAGAGTCGCGCATTCCATGGCCTTCGCGCGTAGCAGGCGAAATTCCTTGGACTGTTCCTCTCTAAGCACATTGAACAGCAATGGCATGAGCGTATCATAATACTTGCCGAAAGCAGTCTGAGCGGAATCAGCGACTGTGGCAATGGTCGATAAGGCTTGTTCTTGGACGAATCTTTTCGGGCTTTGGAGCAGAATCAGAAGATGGTTTAATAGGCCATCAAGATATGGCTCCAGGATTTGTTTTTCAGCCTCCTCGCAGAAGTTGACAAGCGCAGCAGCCGCATGAGCTTGCACACGTGGTTCGGGTGACTCCAGGACGGGTATGATGTTGGGAACAACGACTTGATGGTACTTCTCCTGCATGATCCCGGCAAAGTCGGTACTCATCTGACCGACAGCATTACATCCGGCCCATCTCACTCGAGGATGTGGATCTCTCAGAGCAGGAAGTACAAGGTCGAGAACTTTATCAAGCTCGCCCGTCATGAGGTCTCGGCAACCCTCTGAAATCGCTGAAATCGCCATAAGTGCGGCATGTCTATCTCTCCATGCAGAAGAAGTCATCATGCGCGGAAGCCAATTGAAAGTCGGGGGGAGGATAGCCTGTCCTCCGAGCTTATTGGCCAACCGATCCATACATTGTTCTCCAGCGACATGGTTCATGTCGCTTTCATCATTATCAAGCTGAAACAATCGATTAGCTACGCCACTGGCTGACTGGAAATACTTACATCTTCGGACTCATTCCATTCTGAGGCGTCGTCATCGTCTGCACCCACATCTGTCATGAGTGAAAGACACTGTGTCACCATCTCAGATGTGTATGATTCATCTTTTTTGCACATTTGAGGTGCCATGTCAGCGAAGGTAGCCATAAGCTCCAATGCGTTCTGTCTGGTCGTATCGTCCAGTTCCTTGTCTTGGATGACGGTCACAGAGAATGTTACGAGATTGTTGAAGGCAGGCTTGAACATCTTTGGCGCGATTTCAGCCAGCTCAATCAGTGCGACTAGAGCTAAGGTGAGTTGCGCTGAGTCTCCGGACTCTTTGATCGGCGGCAGAATATTCAGAATATCCGGAACAAGGATGTAGTACTTGGTTTGGACCTTCTTTTGGACCGAACGAAAAAAGCTCGAGAAGGCGTCCATGGCGGCGATGCGCACCTTCGCATTAATTAACCATTGAGTTCAAGACCTTGAGAGCACTTTCTTACCGCAAAATCCTCATCTTTGAACCCTTTTGTAAACGCTGACTGGACAGTATCCTCATGTTGCTTTTCGATGATTCCAGGTGTGGCTGAGAATATTTTATACGCAGCCTCTCGCTGCTGGGCATTAGCCGATTGACTGAGTGTAAACAGTGATCCCAGGAGCTCAGGCCACTGTTCTCCTGTAAAATAAGTGGATCAGTCTACTGATAGAATTCGAGAGTCACTGAGCATACCTTCTTCAGTGAACTGTCTTGCCAGCTCAGCAACGGCGTCGCCAATCTTGTTCCTCACATTGGCAACTGTCTCGGTCCCAAGAGTCTCCAAGACCTTTGTACGGATAGCCTGGCGCTGCTCTGCGCCGAGAAGCAAGAATAGCTCCTTTGTTGCATTTGTATTGGGGTCTTTGCGCGATCGTATTGATATGCGACGGAATAGGACAGCAGCAAAAGTGCGGATCTAGGAGAGAAGCCTGTATTAGTACCACCAGGCTACGAAAGATTCGATGCTCATTTTCTTTAGCATGGTCGGGAACCGCTCTAGAAGCTCTTACTGAAGGATCCTGTTCAGCCTGTATCTGCTCCGATAAACCCATAAGCAGAATTTCAGGTTGGGTCTGTTCCCAGTTGTTCTTCAGCTCTTCCTCTGCCTGAGAGCGAACAGTATTATCAGATGCCTGGAGGCCATGGAGAAGCTGGCTCAGTGCCGTGTGCACTTCTGGTGGGAGTATCGACATCGTGGCGAAACAGTTGTTGTGTGTACCGGTGGTAATGGTGGGGTATATAGTAACGCGGGCACGAACTTTGAAAGCCCTCCCAGGCGATAAAGTCGTAATATTCGATAAACAGTTCTGTGGGATGGTTTAACTAAGGAAAGAATCTCTGGAAACGCGTTCGGTATTTGAAAAGTGCTGTCCCCGCCTTTGTACGTTGAGTGCGAATGTTGTCTGTGGGACCCGCGAATTTCATGCCCGCCCTAAACGCCAAGAGGCATCTCCGTAGCCAATGAGTGGCGTGCCCTGTTTCCCTTCCGCGATAATAACAACGTAGCGCAGGGTCCAACATAAATGTGAAGATCTAACATGCTCTGCTTCAAGAATAACAATTACTTCTATTTCGGAGAAATGTCATAGTTCACACAGTCCGCCCTCCGCGATTTTGGCTGAGTTCTCCTCTGGTAAAATATTAAATCCTGAAACATATGTGGACTATATATGTGGACTATAGAGTATAGTAATTCCTACAGTAAACATATATTTACATACATGCGCTACTAGGGCGTTACTATGTGAAATACTACGCTACAAAATGAAACGGGATATTAGACGCACAAATTGTAAATGCGGATGACTGGTCGACCAAGGCGACTGAGCGCAAGGTTCAGATATCACCTGCTCGTGGAGCGACTCAATGTGAAAACTCCCACAATGACAACGGCCAACGTAACGATAGCACCAGGTAGCAACAGCTCGTTCGGTACGCCCGCAATCAGCTGCTCTTCAACCTTGGGTGTCGATTGCTGAGCAGTTTTGCGCCTATGCCTCTCAATTTCCTCTTCATCGTCGTCTCCCTCGAGAATTCTTCGGCGTTCTCTCATGACAGACTCAGGTGGAGTGGGTGGTTTGGGCAGACCTGGATGAGGGTCAAGCGTTGCAGGTAATGCTGGCTGATTGGGATCGTGGGCAAATAGGTCGACCTTGTCGCGATGAGCATGGCGTGAGATGGTAATGGCTTCCAAAAGATCTTGATCCGTCGTAATCGAGACCTGGTCTCCCTCATTATCCAGATAGCTAAGCGCGAAACCTGCAGTGTTCATCTTCCCATCTTCGAATGTTGGAACACCCCCAATAGAGTCGGCCTCTCCCCCGAGCTTGCCCGCTACACGATTGAATAAGTCTTCGATACCGGCAGAGGCTACAACTTGAAGACGATGTACGCGTCCGCTTGGTGCCTTGAATTTGAAAGGAAATGGCGAATCTTCGATAGATGCTGAAGGTCCACCCATCGCGGATTGTGGAGGAGAATCGGCACCATGATGCGATGCAGATTCGTTTGGCATCACACTATCGCCGCGGTCCAGCATACCGCCTGGTCTCCCGTGCTCTGGTGATATGAGCGAACGATGGTCGGGCGTTTGGGGAAGACGACTCCCGTCGCCGGACATGACAGACTCGGTCTCATTGTCGAGCGAGAGCCAGAACTTGTTCCACGCGGGACCTTCATTATCGCCAGTGCTCATTGAGTTGATTTGATCAAGCGTGGCGTATGTGAGCTTAAGCACATCAACCATTCCAACAATCTCACCATGCTCGCTCATCACAGGCAAGTTAAGGTAGTGACCATCTGAGAAACGATCAGTATTCCAGACTATCATAGTGGGAGGCTTTAATCTTACCATGCATCTTCCGCAGAGCAGCCTGGATACTCATATCCATTGGTGCAAAGTCGGGATGTGGGGTCATCACACGGACGACGCTGCAATTTGCTGGGTCGAGTCCAGCAGCAATAACACGCAGAACGACATCTTTACTCGTGAAGATTCCAGTGATAGAACTTCCATCTTGTACCAAGACTGCTGTGGTGTGGTTCTCTTTCATAAGTGCTGCAGCCTCTTTGACCGATGTGCGTACAGACACAGTCGTTGGTGGCAGGCCAGTCAAAACAGACTCTAAAGTTGGGCCAGACATCTTCGATCGTAGTGCCTCCACATATTGAATAATCTGCTGAGGCTGTGTGGAGCCTAGTTCAGCTTGTACGCCTTGCATAGCATCGTATAGCTTCCGAGATGAGCTATAGGCGCGCTCTAGTTTTTCCATTGCATCGTAGAAACATTTGGTAATATCGAGTACGCCTGCGATATCATGGTTCTCATCCATGACAGGCAAATGCCTAAAGCCCTTCCTGACCATTAGATCAAGGGCATCAGTGGCACTGGTGTCAGTCTTGGCACACAGGGGGTTCTTGGTCATAATGTCTGCAATGGTGACATCTCGAGCCTTGATTCCAGCTCCTACGACACGGAATGCAAGATCTTTAGCAGTAAATATACCCGCAATGCGCTCGTCGTCGTCCGTGACAAGTACGCAATCTTCTCTCTTCGCTGCCATCAACTGTGCAGCTTCTGCAACTGTTGTATTAGGTTTTATCTGTAGAGCGGGGCTTGGCTTGAGAGCAAGGACAGTTCCGGGAGGGGCTTTTCGGTTAGGACGAACTGTTGTGCGGGATTGCTTCTTCTTGTTCAAATCCGTTTCGATCTTTCGACGGATTGCCTAGCGATGAAGTTAGCCAGGCAGGTCGTCAGGAGTCCGAAGGAAGCTCATCTCACTTCATCTCGCTTTGACTGCTTCGCTCTGCTGGCACTCAATGTGGATCCTGCATCGCTTTGCGAAGGGTGCTGGTCGTGGCTCGGTCGAGGAATGCCAGAGGGACTGTTAGGAAAAGGTGCTGGAGCTCTCGAGTTCTTTGGGGTACCTCTGAAGGTTCCTGCACCAGCTGCGGACATATTTGCAAGTTATGAGGTTCGTAAGACTTCGAATGTGAAGAAGTCGTTGGAATCAGTGGCTAGTGGAACCAAGTGTGTACGGGGTTCAGGTCGTTGCTCGGTCAAGGGTCAGCAAAACAACTGGCAGGGTCCGAGATTTTAGAGCCGGCCAATCACGCCGATAAGTTCCGAAACTTGTCGATGGGAAGGTACCACCACTAGTTCACCACGTCTACTTGAGGTTTCATCCGAAGAATTTGGTGTTGTGTGTTCACGCTCAATCATTCGTTATGAAACTCTGACACAATTGAAGACCTCGAACTTCGCTCGTCGAATTATAGCGTAGTCAAACTCAGTGAAGGGGGCGTTCTAGAGCAGAGCTAAAAGTAAAGATAAGATCCGTACTCGGTGATTTTTCGGTAACTTCCTCGCACCTGTCTCAAACCGGTAGTTCTTCGGCCCACACCTCATTTTGCCGTGGCGAACGAGCGACACAACACGCACATCACTAACTCGACCTCACTACTTATCAACCAGGTACCAACATCCAGGACAGGACAACTCGACCTCAACTAACCTTAAATTTAGCCATCAGTCAACATGGTTAAGAAGCGTGCATCCAAGTATGTGGACCACCCTTTGGTATCACATTTGAGGAACGAAAAGCTAATGAGACGTCAGCGGCCGCAACAAGAAGGGCCGCGGCCATGTCAAGCCCATTCGTTGCTCCAACTGCTCGCGATGCACACCCAAAGACAAGGCGATCAAGCGATTCACGATAAGGAACATGGTCGAGTCTGCTGCCATCCGTACGTACCCCCGCGATGTCTCAGATGTCTCAGGTGCACTCGAGCGCGTTGATCTTCCACGTTACGAAGAATGGACAGAAGGGGTGGCGCCGCATTGATAATAGAGAAACCGAGGCTAATGTAAGGGATTCCTTAGGTGATATTTCTGAGGCATCAGTCTACCCTGAATACACCGTGCCGAAGATGTATTTGAAGCTGCAGTACTGCGTATCGTGTGCCATCCACGGCAAGATCGTTCGGTAAGCAAAGCACGCAACGACCATGAAATTTGGACATTAGTTGATAATGTGCCCAACAGTGTTCGCTCCCGCGTCGGCCGCCGCAACCGCGCTCCTCCTCCACGTGTTCGATTCAACAAGGATGGCAAGAAGATTAACCCTCAACAGGCCGCGCGACCTGGTGCAGCAGCATAAGAGCGTTGTTGATTTATGGTGTTAGCAGGTGTGGTGGCAGGAAACGTCGTAAAGGAACGGATCTTTGTAACCTGCGTATGCATGCGACTTCTAAAATGAAAGTGTTGCACGAGGGACCCAGAGGTTTAGGAAATAGTTCCTAAGCGGGATCCATACGACTAGCCGTTCCAATAACAATGACGACTTGTCAAGGCTTATGCATGCAAACAGTTGTATTCGAAAGAGATGAGCCGTCTAAATATCGAATACTGCCTTCATCTATCTAATGCTCATATTTCACAACGCCACGCTATGCCCATAGGAATCACCCTGCTAATTCAATGCATCACTTTTGAATAACAACTCTGAAATGTCATTTCCTTTTACCTTTACCACCTTTACCTTTTGCACCTTTTGTCGCCGTTACAGGGGCCGCGTGACCCAAGTCATTAATATGCTGGAACAACCTTGTCTTCGAAGGAAAACCTGTATTACACACTGCACATTTATGCCTCAACTCGTCCTCATCAGTCGCTGCTTGCTTAGCAGCCCTCTTCGCCCGCTTCTGGGCAGCTTTACCCATTCTCGGGACTGTTGAAATATCGTAATCGTCGCTATCTTTTTTCATTATTACTGGCATTTCTGAGCCAGATTTGTGGTTTTGCTCAGAGCTGTCCGGCTCGCTGTGCTCGGAGTCTGACTCTTGAGCGGCTGTTAAGTCCTCAATGTCGTTGGCTTGGTCTGCGCTAGTTGGCGTGGGCGAATTGATGGTAGTTTCGCCTTCTATAGTGACCTTTGTGCCATGATTCTCCACTTGCGATGCGACGGAGATATTCTCGAGGACCTCAGCAAGGTCTTCACCTGTCTCTTCGTCTTTGTTCTCGTCTCTGTTTGCGTGTGGGTGAATGACGGATTTCGCGGTCTCGTAGTCTTCAGCTTCTACTTCGACTGGAGTGACTACGCCACCACTGCTCGAGAAGTCGTCGTCTAAACCGAAATGAGCATTTTCCTTCCGCATTTTCTTCTTCAGGGTTTGGACTGCTTTCTGGTGCTTCTTGCTTTTCTCATGTGCATCCCATTGCTTTTCGCTCTTAAAGGTTTTCTTGCATGCCATGCACTCGAAGTGCTCTTCCTCCACCACCTCTTCCTCACTCTCCTCAAGCTCGTCAGGCGCTCTCCTTGTTGCCCATTCTGGGATAGCTTGGTTCTTCAAAGCTTCATTTTGCGCTCTCTGTCGCGCAGCTTGAGCCTTGACAGCATCCCGCATAGCCTTGGCACGCTCATCATCTGTTTGCGTATTTGGCGTGTATCTGGGATCGCGCTTCCTTACAAAAGCCACCAATGTCCTCACCGCCTCATTGAATTCTCTCCTCCCTTGCTCAGCTAATCTTGCATTTTCCTTGTCTACAGCACGTCTCTGCCAGCGATCGTCTGCCTCTGACTTTCGATATTTGTGTTTCCATGAAAATGTCTTGAGAGTTGCAAAGCTGATCCAAACGGCGTAGAACTCCCTCACAACATCATCGTAGTCGTCGTTTTTGTGTCCAAACGAGGGATAGTCCCTCGCCTGCCCGCCGACCATATGCGCTGCAGCCATCTCTTCCTTTGCCAATTTCTCAAAAATATCTCGCAGGAATCCGAAGAAGCCGCTGGGTGAATTACTAAAGTCTACATTGCGGTTGAATTTGCGCATCAACGCAGTGACTTCGTCTGCAGAAGTTATCCCCAAATCTGCTTCGTAGTTGCCCTCATCAGTGGGCTCACCCCCACGTAGTATGATTTGCTCGTGAGAGTCGTACCATGCGCGTTCCTGGGGATCAGATAAGACTTCATACGCGGCCTGGATCTCTGCGAAAAGCTTGGTCGCTCGGTCGACGTCGCCATAATTACGATCAGGATGTAGCTCGAGCGCTTTACGGCGGTACGCTTTTTTGAGTCTGGCACATTAGCGGAGTGAGCAGACATGAGAAGAATATTATTCCCATCTTACTCGTCATCTGTAGCCTGACGTTCTACGCCAAGCAGTTCGTAATAACTGGTTTTTACTTCCCCACCATTTTGCGACGCGCCCGCACTGCCTGTGTTGGAGGACTGATTCGCTCCCATATTGAGAAATCCTGAGTCACCAGCATGGATGGACTGCGTCAACGACAAGGAAGTTGAGCCAAGACATATATTTTCTCTGTACTGCAACGGCTACCTACTTTGGTGTATGTGAAGCTCAACTGCGAGTACACGGATTTAAGCGGCGCTCATCTGTTTTAGGTTACTGCGGACTAGCCAAATAAGATGGATACCTTGGAAGCTGATTTCCTTAAAAACACTCCTCCACTCCACACAATCACAGCCCGTAGAAGTGTTTTCACTATTGATATCAGCGTTCTTTGGCTTTACGTGGCTGACGTCTGGCAATCTTGTGGCACGATGAAGTCGTCGATCGCGAAGGTGGCCACTCTGTGAAAGGCTCGTGTCCGGTCAGGCGCCAAATATGAAGAACGCATAACAGACAACCATCCGATTCCCGTTGTATCTAAAGTATCATTCCGAGCAACACCATCAGAATGTTTCTAGCATTACGATTGATCCTCATGGATCGTATTTACAGTATTGAGCATTTATGCACTCTACTTTGTTGTCGGAAGGCACTTTGAGTGAGGGACACTGTTTCCTAAATGGGACTAGTGTCTAAACGGTTAAATAGCTTCGACTCTATCTCCTAGAACTTAGTTCTTTATATACTTATAGAATATATTTAATAACCTTAATCACGTCTACTTTCTACTTATAATAGATTATAAGCCTAGTACTTTACTATAAAAGCCTTAAAATACCTTTTTATTAATAAAAACTATTATATTTTAATAAAAGTAAGTCCCTTCTCTAAAACTTAGTTATCTTATTAATCTTATTAAAGTTTTACTTTAATTCTACTACTCTATTATCTCTCTATCTCTATATTATAATAAACCTTTTCTAATAAGAACGCGGCTTATCTCTAAAGTAGTCTATTCCATAGAGTATCTTAGCTTTCCTATAGATAAAGGTACTTAGAAGGCTTAGAGGAGTATAAGTAGGTTTATAGTAAGTATTAATAGGGTATAAATAGTAACTAGCTAGTAGGTAAGTAAAGTAGTAATTATATCGGTATAAGTTTAAATTAATTACTATAGAACTATCTCTAGAGATTAGGTCTAAAGGGTCTATATAGTTCTACTAAGGTCCGCTAATTAGAATACTTATTCTAAGTATTTAGTATACTACTTAGAATACTAATATTCTATTTCTAATTATCTAGTAGGCTACTTAGAATATCTATTCTAAGTATCTATAATTAGCTCTCCCTATAGATATCTACCTTAGTCTTAGATTATTACCTAAGACTATCTATTATATTATAGGCCCCTCTTCTATATATTATACTATCTCTTATACTACTCGTACTAGAGTCTATATATCTTTCTATAGCTCTAGCTAGTAGTTTATTATATAATACCCCTTCTAAGGTACTTCGTTCTAAAGTACTTCTATAGCTACTTATAAGTAGAGGGTTATTCTATGTAAGGAGGCGGGCTCCACGCACCAACCAACTACACCAAAAGGACCGAATCTTGAAGCTACTGCTTCAAGGGTGGAGCACACTGCTTATATACGACTGCTGCACACATGTATAATCAACTGGCAGGCCACGTGCTCCTCACGTGCCTGACATTCTAACTTTCTTTAGTAAAGAGCCCTTCTTCCTTTTCTTTTATTATATCTAGAGTTATAAAATTAGTTAAGCCTTCTAAATCTAATCCGGTGAAATAGAGAGTTACTTTATCTATTTTAATTAATTATAAGGGTAACGAGATACCTTTCCCTTACTTATTTTATAAGAAGTATAGCTTAATCTATAGGGCGGTATTTATAAAGTCCGATAAGTATTTAGAGTATATTTATTAAGGTTATTTAGCAAGTAAGTATAGGATTAAGACTTTAAGTATAAGAATAGAGTTATTAGATAGTAGTATAGTTAGATAGAATAATAGAGTATATTCTATTATAGAACGAATTACTACTAAACCCTTTAGGTAGAAATCTAAGAGTATATATATAAAGGGACGCCGATCTATCTAGTACGTAACTATTTACCGCCCTTTACGTTACCTCCTAACCCTATTAGCTAAGGTATATATAGATTAGGTTCTATCTAAGACTAAGTTCTAATAATTATCCCTTCCCTCTAGGAAGCTACTCTTAGCGACCTAGATTATTATCTATCTCTATATCTCTATTCTAAGTCTCGTAAGACCTTAGTTATTCTCTACGCTTCGTCTTAGATACTTACTAATATTTACTAATCTAAGATTTATATAAGCGTTTTTCTAATAAACTAGATTTTATCTATTCTAACTTCTTATATAGGTAAGATTACCTAATTAGACCTAGCGTATTACGTAATATAATTAGATAAGCCCGGGTACTACCTATATTAAAATCTTTTCTTAGAAATATTCCTTTCTTTAAAAAACTTCTTAACTCTTTATAGAGTTTTTTAGATTATTAGATATATTACCTAATTCTTATAGATATAGATTTATATAGATTTACTATAATTTAGTATAATTTATATAATTTACTAATTTTTATACTATCCTTAGCTAGTAATAGTATAATTTATAATAATCTATATAAATTAGTAATAATTATAATATAGTTTTCTAAAATCTTAATACTCTAAAGTAATTAGCGCGGAAATAGACGTCTTTAAATAATTCCTATCTTATATACGTTACTAATATATTAAAAGCTATTAATCTACCCTAACCTAGGCTAGGCTCTAATAATCTAGCTATATATTATTATAGTTATTACTTTCTATTATATATTACTTACGGTAGTACTAAATCTATAATATATAGTACTTATATAACTAAGAAGCGTTATTACTTATAGATATTTAAGTAAGTTTAAAGAACTTTACATAGATTTACTTATATTAGTATAGATTACTACTAGGCCTCTAGTAACCTCTACTAATAAGAAGTATAGTACTATTAATTATAACGCCTTAGAGAAGGCTTTCTATAAGCTATATATCTAAGATAAGAGTTACGCCTAGGAGTATAATTCTAATAAGATCCGTAAGGATTTATTAGAATCTACTATAGCTATTATTACCGCGATTACTAGATAATATTATTTTCTTAAATTATTATAGATTCTTACTAATATATATTAATCTCTATAATAGTACTAAAATCTCTACTACTTCGGACTTCTTTCTATATACTAGTAATATTAAAATTTCTAGAAAAGGTTCTAGTAAAAAGGCTAAGGTTCCTTTCTTATATATACTAAAGAGCTATAAATTTAGGGAAGATAGCTCTAATCTAGAAGTTTCTATACTAAAGGTATATAGTTCTATACCGATTATTAAATCTTTTCGCTAATTTATATAATTCTTAGCGTACCCGCGCCGGTCCGTCCCTCTCTATTCTAGGTCCTACTACTCTATAGATTTCTATAGAGGAGTTTATAGCTATAAGGCGCGCTATATAGAATTTATAGTATTAGAATGAAAGGCTAGAGACTTATATTATAAAGCTCTATACTATACTAAATAAGAACTAGCGAAAGGAATTAGATATAACTATTATAGTAATTAGTACTTCTACTTCTACTCTAACTTAATTAGTTTAGATCTATACTAATTAGTACTAATATATCTCTTTTATCTAGTGTTTTTAGTTTTTTAGTTTTAATTTTAAAGCGATCTTACTTCTTCTAGATAGATTAGTATAAGTTTATATAGATCTATATAGATCTTTATATTTTCGTTTAGCTTTCTTAATTTTATCTTTCTTTAATAATAACTTCTTTAATCTCTTTAGTAATCTATACTAATCTATACCGATCGGCACCGATTTTCGATATCCATTTCTCTTAGTAAATTATTTTTCTAAGTCTCCTTTTTAGTTAAATTCTTTAAAGTTCTAAGTTTAAACTTTCTAAGGAAGTTCCTTAATTCCTTAGAATATTTTAAAGATCTATATCTCTTTTACCTTCTTCCTTTTAGGCGGCCGTCCTTAGCGCTAAACTATACTAAAAAACGTTAAATTACCGTACTTTAGTATAATTCTCTATAATTCTACGGCTTCCTTTACTAATTACTACTTATATACTAATATTACTACTTTACTAATATTTATTATAGGTTCCTAAGTATCTTTATTAGAATTATATCCTTTCTAATAAATCTTATATAGCTATATACTATCTTCGGCGCGTTACTAGCTAAGTATCTACTTAACTTTATAGATATCTATACCTTCTTACGTAACTACTTTATATAGTATCTATTTAGAATAATCTAGTAATAATAAGGTATAAAATAGCTTAAGAAGCGTAATATAGAATATATTATATATCTTTAATATAGGAGGGAGTTATAACTTATATACCTAGTTATTAATTACACGAGTAATCTTATATAGACCTATTATTATATAGTTAAGCTTCTTCTTTAGCCTAATACTATAAATATTCTTACTATTTAGTAAAACTTTATCCCTAATATTAAAGATTATAGGTTTTCTACCCTTATCATAGTATAATTTACTATAATCTATAGTATCTTATAGTAACTTTATAATACTTCTTTACGTTTAGAATAGTTCTATAGTAATTTCTATTACTTTAATATTAGGTTATTCTACTTTAAACTAAGTCTCTAAGAACTATATATTATAGTTCTAACTAAAGTTTACTTTAAACGGACTTACGTAGATTAATATATATCGGCTATTATTATATACGAATTCCGCGATATAGACTAACCTTATCTAGTTATTCTACTTATAGTTATAATATACACGTAAATACGCCTTAACTATCTAATTCTACTACTCTATCTATCTATCTATCTATTTATAGATGGAACGTAGTACTAAGTTTCCGCTTAATTCCTAGTATATAGTAGAAATCCTTCTAAAATTTAGATATTATCTACGGACCTCTATCTAAAACTATACTATTTAGTATACTATAGAGCTAGACTATATTATAGAGTAGTATATCTATAAGATCTAGTACTTAGATTATCTTTCTTATAGGGATATAGTATAGTATCTTTATAAATCTATCTAGAACTACGAGTAAACTATTATAAATATACCTAGAATACTTACTTAGGGGTAGATCTATAATAAAATCCATCGATAATTCCTTCTATACCTCCTTTAGTATAGATAATAGCCTTAATTTACTATATAGTAAGTATCTATATACTTTTATATACTAGTAAATATTATACGTATTTATATAGTCTTTTATATATTTATAAAGACCCGGCTAGTTATACGTCCTTTAGATTAAATTAACCATCCTTATAATACTAAAGTACCCTACTAACGCGTAATTATACTATTCCCTTAAAATATTAATTTATAAGCCGCCTTCTAGTATATAG